ACAGAGTTGTAGATAGGAGAAGTGGCTGGTACAAGACTAGAGAGAAGGGGCCCTGTTGTGAATAGGAATAGAGTCCAAGGTACAGAGCAAAGATGAACCAGAAAAAAGAGGCTGCATAATTTATGCACTAAAAGCAATTGAGAAGGAGAGACAGGCCATTACGCAGAGGGGTGGAGGTGATTTATTGCCAGGTTTATTGTAGCTTTGCTTTTGATAACTGTACAGTGTAATTGTGGAAAATGCAATACAAGAGATGAGGAAATATGAGTGAGAATTGCCTGGCCTCAGTTTATTGGGTAAAGGCACCATGACCAGCCTCAAGAGAGCACAGCCATGAGTCAGAGCCTCTTGGTGGTGAGACTTAAAAACACGATTATATGGTGGGTCTGTCTGTCTTTGCAGAGTCAAGCTCCCCCTGAGCATCCCCTGCTGTGTGTTCATGACATTTAGCATATCCCTTACTCCAAGACGCTTTGGGGAAGACCAGCTGATCCTTTAGGGATGTTGAAGTCCCCTGATCTTCACATCAGTCCTGTTCCCTCAGCCCCCATGTGAGAGCTGTCATAGATTCATAGATTGTAGAGTCTAAAGGGACCATAATGGATCATCGTGTCCGACCCCCTGCCCTGCCCCTGGCAGGAAAGAGGACTGAGGTCAGATGATCCCAGCCAGGTGACTATCTAGCCTCCTCTTGAAGACCTCCAAGTTAGGTAATAGTACTACCTCTCTTGGAAGCCCATTTCAGACTCTGGCCACCCTTACTGTAAAAAATTTCTTCCTAATGTCTAACCTAAATCTACCCTCCACTAGTTTGCACCCATTATTCCTAGTTACTCCCTGGGGCGCTCTGGTAAATAGTGCATCACCAATTCCCTGTTCTCCTCCCTTGATAAACTTATAGGCGGCTACAAGGTCTCCACTCAGATGTCTCTTGTGAAGACTGAAGAGATCCAGATCTCTCAACCTCCCATTGTAGGGTCTTTCACGGATGCCACTAATCATGCGAGCGGCCCTCCTCTGAACCCTCTCCAGATTCTCCGTGTCCCTCTTGGAGTGCAGCACCCAAAACTGGACACAGTACTCCAACTGCGGCCTGACCGATGCTGCAGAGAGGGGGAGCATCACCTCCCTCGATCTGTTGGTCATGCATCTGCTAATCCACAACAAAGTGCAATTGGCCTTGTTGATGGCCTCGTTACACTGCCAGCTCACGTTCATCTTGGAGTCAACTATGACTCCAAGATCTCTCTCAGCCCCTGAGCTGCTGAGGAGGTCCTCCCCCAACCTGTAGGTGTGCTGGGGATTCCTCCTTCCCAGGTGGAGTATCTTACATTCATCTTTGTTGAACTGCATCCTATTTTGTTCTGCCCATTGATCCAACCTGTCCAGGTTGGCCTGTATCTGCTCCCTGCCCTCCAGTGTGTTAACTTTGCCCCATAACTTGGTATCATCTGTGAACTTGGAGAGGGTGCTCTCCACGCCCTCGTCCAAATCGCTGATGAAAATATTAAATAACACCGGTCTGAGGACCGAACCCTGTGGGACCCCACTGCCCACCTCCTTCCAGGCCAAGAACAACCCGTCCACACCACTCTCTGGGTGCGGTCCCGAAGCTAGTTGGCCACCCCCCTGACTGTGTAGGTGTCCCACTTCACAGCCCACTAGCTTCCCTATGAGAATAGGATGCCAAACTGTGCTGAAGGCCTTCCTAAAATCCAGGTAGATGACATCAGCCTCAGCTCCTGTGTCAAGGCAGCGTATGACCTTATCGTAAAAGGCTATAAGGTTTGTCAGGCAGGATCTACCTGTGATGAACCCGTGCTGGTTTCCTTTCAGCATCATTTCCCCTGCCGGGCCTTCACAAATCCGCTCTTTGATGATTTTTTCCAGTATTTTCCCAGGGAGAGAGGTAAGACTGACTGGCCTAAAGTTACC